TCCTGTCAGCATTTTCTTCCACTTATTCAACACCGAGTCATTCGTGTCCTCACTGACAATATGGCTACAATATATTACATAAACAGACAAGGGGGAGCTCGATCTCGGTCGCTTTGCGCTGAGGCAATACGTTTGAGGCAATCACCACAACGTCTCCCTCACTGCCAGGCCAGCAGAACTGCACTGCCGATGCGCTGAGCAGCACTTCTCTGCAAACCACGAATGGGAGCTACACCCCCAAATATTGTACAGAATATTCTATCACTGGGGGTTTCTAGATATAGACCTTTTCGCTATGTCTCGCAATGCGAAATGCCCTCAGTATTGCTCGAGAGCCAGGATCGGACACAGATCCAGAGGCGATGCTTTCCTACGCAGCTGGTCTCACCACCTTTTATACGCATTTCCTCCCACGCCTCTGATGCCCAGAGTTCTGGAGTAAATACACTCAGACAGAGCCACAGTAATTCTCATAGCACCCTATTGGCCCCGACAGACATGGTTTCCCTACTTTATCGCATGTCAGCCCACATCCTGATCCCACTTCCCAGGTGTCATGATCTGCTCTTGCAGAATCATCGTTCCTTGCTCCACTCTCAGATCGACCACCTGGCACTCACAGCATGGTTTCTCCATGGTTCCAGCAAGCAGAACTAGCCTGTTCAAGTCCAGTTAAGAATGTCCTTTTACACAGTAGGAAGAAATCTACACGTATTGCCTACCTGCACAAATGGAAGCGTTTTTCCTCATGGTGTGCGAATACAGGAGACAGTTTGGCCTCGGCACCTATCCATCTAATCCTAGATTACCTCATGCACCTCAAGGACTCCAGTCTCTCCTTGGCATCTATCAGAGTCCACGTGGCAGCAGTCACCGCCTTCTACCATCCTGTACAGGGGTATTTGCTCTTTTCACATCCTATGACAAAGAGATTTATGAAAGGAATCACTAACCTTTTTCCCCATCACACCAGACCAGCAGATCCTTGGGACCTGGAGCTGGTCCTCAGTACTTTGACAACTTTGCCTTTCGAACCCCTGGCAATGTGCGACCTTCATACTTTGTCCATGAAAGTCATCTTTTTATTGGCCATAACCTCGTCAAGAAGAGTTAGCGAGCTGGTTGCATTATCAGCCTCGTTCCCCTATACAGTGTTTACTCCTCAAGGAGTCATATTATGCCCTCAGCTGCGTTTTCTGCCTAAAGTGAACTCTCAGTTCCATATTAACAAACCCATAGTTCTCCCTGTTTTTCACCCTAAGCCCCATTGTTCGGCAGAGCAAGCACGTCTTCACACTCTGGATGTCAGACACGCACTCGCCTTTTATATACAAAGAACTAAGCCACTGCGAAGATCAAGAACACTTTTAGTTTCGATGGCGGAGCACTCTAAAGCCTGTCTGCTATCTGCACAATGCATTTCCTCAATCATAGTTGAGTGCGTAAGAAAATGTTATATTTTTCAAAGCAAACCATTTCCAACAACAACTAGGGCTCACTCGACCCGAGCAGTCACTGCTTCTACTGCATTCTTGAAAGGAGTATCCTTGAAGGACGTTTGCAGGACTGCCACATGGTCATCCGATTTTACTTTTGCCAAGTATTATGCAATGCCTAACCTGCTTATACCAGACGCCACTGTAGCATCAGCAGTACTCTCCACAGCTGCACCTCGTTAGCTCCGAACCCTCCACCGTTCCAAGGAGCTATTGCTGTGCATTCACCTACAGTGGAGCACCCACGGGACACTGCTCGAAGAAGAAGAAGTTACTCACCCTGCTCCACGACCCGCCCTCCTCCCCTCTTCGGAGTAACTTATTGTGTTTTTCAGAACAAGTGGATCAGGAGGAACTGGCAGGCACCGGACCGCGCGCACAAGAAATGCACAAAAAGACGCGAGCTGCACTGGCGCATGCGTGGTCCGGCACACTACGGCTAAAAAGATCTCTGAACTGCGGCACTGGGACAAGCCTGACACCTACAGTGGAGCACCCACGGAACACGCATCTCAAAGAACCATCGTTACTTTACAGGGTGAGTAACTTCTTCTTGTTCATGCTGCTCTGGGTACATACATACATTATTAGCCTGTGCTGTAGTCCATTCCACTACATCTTCACTGCTATTTTTAGTGTACTAGCTAGATTAAATAGTGCAAGTACTGCCCCCGCAAAATGCAAAACAGCCTAAGTCAGAGCCACATGACACCCAGATGTTGTTTTACCCTTCTTCTAGCTTTTCCACAAATCACATAACATGTAATGACCAAACAGTGGATGGGTTCCATGAACACAGAATTTGTCTTAATTTCCTAGCGGGTGGCCGGTTTCTGTTAGTTCTACAGTATGCCAGCTGTTGCCCACTATCTATCACGGTCTCTCTTTCACCAATCACCATTAACTCTGGAACATAAAGCTCCTGCCTTAATTCTCTGTGGACTGACTCAGAACATCTGAATTCGTGGGGTCAAATAACTTCACAGCAAATGATAATTTAATGAGCAGGACATGAAAAAAAGCAGTATGTTTGGCTTCAAAGCTGTGTTGAGATCTGAAAGTAATCCATGACAGGCCATATGTCTGAGTCTTGATGAATGTGTATTAACCCACATGAAAGCTTATTGAAGTTTATACAGAGTAATGTAAATCATGCATATAACAAAGATCATCCAGCTCAGAATTCCAAAAGGGAAAAAGAATATTTGGAAATGGCTTACCCAGCTGATCTGAGGATGGTTCAAAACTTACAGTGCATACGGATGTATTTACAAACTGTCTTGAGTTAACGTCTTCTGTTTCTTTACTGAATTCTACCAGGTATTTACTTCTTAAAATTGTGTACTGACAGCATGCAGTTTCATTATGCAGATATTTTGTAAAAAGCATTTCTGCTTTAGTTAAAAAGGAAAATACATGCACATCAGAAGAGTAACATCTAGCTTTAGAATAGAAGCTGATACTTACCAGTGCTTGTTAAAGGGAAGAATGAGCACAAAAGAAACAAAAGCCAGTTGAAGGGGAGATAGAGAAGACACATGATGGAGTGGGAGCTAAAGGGATATGACATGAGAGGAAAGAATGAAGCAGATCTTGAGCTTGAGAAGAGGGAGTTTCTTACAAAGTGAAGCTGATCTGTATATTTAGCATGAGCATTGAACTCTGGGGAGGAACAGTGATCAGAGCTGTGCAACTGGGGCAATGCCTCCAAAACAACAAGCAACCAACTTCCTACACCCCTAAAAGCCCTAAACCCAAAGTTCCATCTCTAACAAGCACAGCATACTTAATTACATTTAGAGAATGTCATATTTACTGTTGATTGGGCTGGGACACCTAAAAAAAGAGCGGTATATACATGGCCCAGATAGAATGTGTATGAATGGCAATACCCTTCTTGTGTACAAAATGAAATTAAGAAAATTAGTTGACATAAAGGAGCATTTCATTCTATTATAGTTATAAAGAAACAATTCAAAGAGTTGTTTTACAGCGGAGAAACAATTCTGGGAACTGCAAATTTTTAACACAACCATTATTTAAGGGAGGGAAAACAACAATGTATGGGTGTGGTTAAAGTACCCTATTTGGACATCATCAAAGTAAAAAACAATGATCAAAATACATTGTAGATAATCGGATAAAATAAACATGTTAATTTAAAAAAATGAATATTTAATGAATACAAAGGAAAACACATAGCAACAAAATGCTGAACAGAGCATTAAATATGATAATTGCCATGTGTTAAAAGTACAAGCTACAAACAAAACTGTGAAGTTAATAGTACCACTTCAATTAGTTTTATCATTAGGAGTCAAATAGCCAAGAAACATTTTAAATTGATTCATTCCTAGCTTACCTTATTCTGTGAATTTTTCTATTATAAAATATAACCATAGTTCTCTGACTTATCCCTACAATACAACCAATGATCCTAAAGCTAAATAAGCATTGTACCAGTCCGGGTCAGCGGGAGGCCCTGCTGACTCACTCCACTGACAACCGCTCCTGAAGTCTATGACAGTTTGGGTGGCCATGGCCCTGGGTCAGGGCAGGGCAACAAAGTCACATAGGGTATGTCTACAGTACCCCGCTAGTGCGAACTAGCGGGGTAATGTATGCATACCGAACGTGCAAATGAAGCCCGGGATTTGAATTTCCTGGGCTTCATTTGCATAAGCTGGCCGGCGCCATTTTAAATGCCGGCTTGTTCGAACCCCGTGCCGCGCGGCTACACGCGGCACGGGCTAGATAGTTCGG